GTGTCTCTGTATGTGTGTGAGTGTGTGAGTGTTTGTGTGTGTGGAGATAGAGTGTGTGTGTGTATGTGTGTGTATGTGGAGAGAGAGAGTGCATTTGTGTGTGTGTGTGTAGAGAGAGAGTGTGTGTGTGGGAACGTGTGCTTGTGTGGGAGAGTGTGTGTGTGTGGGAGAGCGAGAGTGTGCGGGTGTGTGTGGGTGTGTGTGTGTGTATGCATGTCTGTGTGTGTTTGTGTGTGTGGAGGAAGTGTGTTTGTGTGTATTTATGTGTGTGTTTGTGTGTGTGGAGAGAGTGTGAGTGTGTCTGTGTGGGTGTTTGAGTGTGTGGATAGAGTTAATGTGTGTGTTTGTGTGTGTAAAGAGAGAGTGTGTTTGTGTATGTGAGTGTTTGTGTGCGTATATGTGTGTGGAGAGAGATCTGTGTGATATTGTGTGTGTGTGTGTGTGTGTGTGTGTGTGTGTGTGTGTGTGTGTGTGAGAGAGAGAGAGAGAGAGAGAGTGTATAGTGTAGTGGGGTCATCTGTAGTGTGACATGAACCCAAGATCCCGGTTAAGGCTATCCTCATGGGTACATCATGGCTCTGAATACTATAGCAAAAATCAGCATGTGTGCCACTTCCCAATGGTCATTGATGATATCCCCATTCTCAGACTTCAGTTGGCCAATAGTACTGTTAGCCAGCTGCTTTCCCTTTATAAAATTATAAATTCTGTTCTTATTATATTTTATGTACCTTGCAAGTTTCCTTTCATAATGCTTTTTAGCTCTTATAAGTCCCATTGTGACCCTTTGTTGATTTTTGTACTTGTTCTATATGAATGTATATGGTTCTTTGTGGTTTTATAAGTCCATCTTTTTACTTTGTGCTGTACCTTACTTCCTTTGATATTCATGGCTGCTTCTTTGTATGAGATGGAGCTTTTCCTTCTCTAGCATTAAATGTTTCTATGAACACCATCAACTATACCTCAGTTATTTTACCTATTTGCAGAGATTCCCAGTTTACTGTAGACAGTCTCTGCCTCATCCCATTAAAGTCAGCCTTACTTAAGTCTAAAATTTTAACATCTGATTTTTGCCTGAGTTTTACACACGCTGCATGAAACTCGATCGTGTAATGATCACTATTTGACAAATGCTCAAAACAACTAGGTCACTAATTAAATCAGGCTTATTGCTCATTACTGGATCCAATATTGATTGTCCCCTTATTACACCCAAGATATATTGCCATAGGAAACAATCGTGGACACACTCTAGAAATTCACAACCTTTCTGGCAGGTCCTCTCTCTGGCTGTCTCTCTCCCAGTCTATGTTAAAATTAAAATCCCCCACCAATACTACTCTGCCTTTACTACTTAGTGGCTTAATTTCAGCATTTATACAATATAGCAGTTCTAAACTGCTATCAGGTGGTCTATACAAGACACCTATTGCGGTTTTAGTTCCGTTATGGTTCCTCAGTTCTACCCACAAGGTCTACACTGGGTGCTTTCCCCTCATTACATTCTCCCTCACCATAGAAGTGATTCTGGTTCCAATCAGCAATGCTACTCCGCCCCCTCTGCTATTTTCTATATCCTGTAAGCTCTAAATCTTATAACCTGGTATGTTTAGCTCCCAGTCATGATCATCCTGCAGCCATGGCTCTGTAATAGGTACTTTATCATGGTTTCTAATTTGAATCTGTGCCTGTAGCTAATTTCATTCGTTCCTTAGACTCCGTGCATTTATGTTAAGAACTCTAATTTGGCTGTACACTCTATCGTGTCCTTCAGCATCTTTTTACTATTTCTCCCTCCAGGTTAACTTAAAACACTTTTTACAGTCCCACCCTGTTCATTAAACTGGCCCTGCTCGTTCATCCTATTAATGTCCAGCTTTCTTTCACATCCTGACCTGCTGCTCTACTTCCCATCAAATTCAATTCAATTCAGTTCAAATTCAATGACAAATTCTGCATTTATAAACTTCAGTAATGGTGACTGTGAAATTATCATCAATTGGAAAAACCGATTTGATTCACTAACATCTTTTAGGCAAGAAAATCCGCCATCTTTACCTGATATGGCTTACATGTGACTCCAGACACACAACAATGCGGTTGCCTCTTAACTACCATCTGAATGGCCCAGCGAGCCACTAAATTGACAGGGAATTAGGGATGGGTAAAATAATGGTCTTGCCAGCATGCCTTGAAAGAATGAAGAAAAACAATTGGGAACATCTGTACAGCAGTGAAGAGAGGAGTGATCCATGGTGGTAGCTGTCCAACACAAGAGTGCCTCAAGCAAGCTATGCTCTCGGAGGCCTTGTAAGACAATTTCAACATGATGGAAATTCAAATTTACTAGGACCATCAATGTGACCTGCAGGGCTGGGGTTGCGGGGGGGAGCGTCAGATGGGGGTGCTGGTGAAGAAGAGGGACTTGTGGTGGAGGAGGAGGAGTGCGGACAGACTTGTGGGTGTGGACCCTTGCACACGATTTTGTTTAGCCATAGTTGGACCATTTTCAGTCTGGAGGCTCATTCTGAGGTGTACTGAGAGGAAGTCTCCTGGCCAACCACCAGGAGGTAGTCTTCCAGTAAATGCCTGGCTCTGGATTCGGTCAGGGATATGCTCAGACTGTTCACTGCACACAGGAGCAAACTGCCTAAAGGGAGTGATCATTCTAATATCTGATAAGATCAATCCAATAGCTAACACGATCGATTCAGTTTCTAAGATGGTCAGTCTAATATCTGAGAGTCAATATAATTACTAATAAGATTGATCTAATTTCTGAGAGGATTGATCTAATTTCTGAGGGTCGATCTAACAACCAATAGGATCAACCTAACTTCTGAGAGGATCAATCTAATTAGCGAGAGGATATATCTAATCTCTGAGTGGATGAATCTAATTCCCAATAGGATCAATCTAATATCTATGAGAATCAACCTGATTTCTAAGGAGATCAATCTAATTTCTAAGAGGATTGATCTAATTACTGATAGGATTGATCTAATTTCTGAAGTAATTAGCAGCAAAGATCCTGTCGGTCTGCCACTGTGAACACTACACTGAGGGTTTAGCCAGTTATCAGAGTCAGTGAAAATATTGCCAAAATATGTGGGGAGATTACAAAGACCTAGCAGAATGATTTAGAAAACAGCAGCTAAATAATCAGAGATAGTAGGAACTGCAGATGCTGGAGAATCCGAGACAACAAGGTGCAAGGCTGGATGAACACAGCAGGCCAAGCAGCATCATAGGAGCAGAGAGGCTGACGTTTCGGGCCTAGACCCTTCATCAGAAAAGGGGGAGGGGAAGGGGTTTTTGAAATAAATAGGGAGAGAGTGGGAGGCGGATAGAAGAGGGATGGAGGAGAGGATAGGTGGAGAAGAAATAAACAGGTCGAAGAGGCGGGGATGGGGCCAGGAAAGGTGAGTGTAGGTAGGGAGTTAGGAAGGGGATAGGTCAGTCCAGGGAGGACGGACAGGTCAAGGGGGCGGGATGAGGTTGGTCGGTAGGAGATGGAGGTGCGGCTTGAGGTGGGAGGAGGAGATAGGTGGGAGGAAGAACAGGTTAGGGAGGCAGGGACGAGCTGGACTGGTTTTGGGATGTGGTGGGGGGAGGGGAGATTTTAAAACTTGTGAAATCCACATTGATACCATTGGGCTGCAGGGTTCCCAAGCGGAATATGAGTTGCTGTTCCTGCAACCTTCGGGTGGCATCGTTGTGGCACTGCAGGAGGCCCAGGATGGACATGTCGTCTGAGGAATGGGAGGGGGAGTTGAAATGGTTCGCGACTGGGAGGTGCAGTTGTTTGTTGCGAACCGAGCGTAGGTGTTCTGCAAAGCGGTCCCCGAGTCTCCGCTTGGTTTCCCCGATGTAGAGGAAGCCACACCGGGTACAGCGGATGCAGTATACCACATTGGCAGATGTGCAGGTGAACATCTGCTTGATGTGGAAAGTCTTCTTGGGGCCTGGGATGGGGGTGAGGGAGGAGGTATGGGGGCAGGTGTAGCACTTCCTGCGGTTGCAGGGAAAAGTGCCGGGTGTGGTGGAGCTGGAGGGGAGTGTGGAGCGGACGAGGGAGTCACGGAGAGAGTTGTTCAAGCAGGGGACACGGCAAAGGGCCTAAATGTTTCCTTCAATGTTTTAATCTTCAAGAGGGATGTGGGCATCACTGTTAGCCATTTCTGAAACTCACCCATGCTGCTGTGGATCTGGCCAGAACATTAACCTGGGGTTTTGGATTACTCATCCAGTGACATACCATTCTCATTTCAACGTGGTCCTCCAGTATGGTCATTTCAAGTTGTTACTGTTTTGCATCTGATGTTACCTTCACACATGCTACACTGCTTGACCAGGACTGACTGATATTGTAAAAATGAAAATATTATGGACTTAAACGACGTGCAAGATTCCCGATTGGAAACATGTCAATTTCTCTGTTCACTTACCGCGTAATAATGGGATCCATTGCCATGTTTGGTCCATAACAGCGAAGACTTCCTCTTCCCCCCAGGCCAGTCCTTCCATGTGGATTTCTGAAACATTCAGTTAGCATTTTTGGTAGGTCTGTAACTGGGCACTGTGTTGCCGGCAGACAGTTTTGCAAAGTATCCACTTGTGATGTAATCATTTGCAAATTCCAGGACATACCATTCTCTGCTAATTGGTGGCAGGGCCCAGGCTCACAGGCCCAAGGGTCACCATAGAGTAATAAAGGTCAAAGAGATCAACAGCACGGAAAAATGTCTTTCAGCCTATCATACCTATTCTAATCCCATTTTTCTGCAGTTGGCCCACAGTCTTATACCATAAGACCGTAAGACATAGGAGCAAAAATTAGGCCATTTGGCCCATCAAATCTGCTTTGCCATTCAGTCATGGTTGAAAAGGTTCTCAAACCCATTCTTTCACTTTGTCCTTCATAACCTTTGATCCCCTTGACAGTCAAGAACCTATGTATCTCTGTCTTAAATATACTTAATGACCTGGCCTCCACAGCCTTCTTAGAATAGCTTGAGGCAGCAGTGCTAAACACTGAGCCAACATGCTGCCAATTCATTCTGTGGCAATGAATTCCAAAGATTAACCACTCTCTGGCTGAAGAAGTTTCTCCTTATCTCTGTTCTAAGGTAAAGGTCTTCTGTTTACTCTAAGGCTGTGTCTTCAGGTCCTAGTCTCTCCTGCTAATGGAAACATCTTTCCAATGTCCACTTTATCTATGCCTTTCAGTATTCTGTAAGTTTCAGTTCGATCTCCCCTCATCCTTCTAAACTCCATCGAGTATTGAACCAGAGTCCTCAAACATTCCTCATATGTTAAGCCTTTCATTCCTGGGATCATTCTCAAAAACTTCCTCCGGACCCAGTTCCTTTGGCCCAATTCATCCTTCCTGAGATATGGTGCCCAAAATTGCTCGCAATATTCTAAATGTGGTCTGACCAGAGCCTTACAAAGCTTCAGAAGTACATCTCTGCTTTTATATTCTAGTCCTCTTGAAATAAATGCCAACATTGTACTTGCCTTCCTAACTACTAATTCAACCTGCCAGTTAATCTTCAGAGGATCCTGGACTAAGACCTCCCAAGGCCCTTTGCACTTCAGATTTCTGAATTTTCTCCCCATTTAGAAAATAGTCTATGCCTCTATTTGTCGTATCAAAGTGCATGACCTCACACTTTCCTACATTGTATTCCATCATTCCATCATGTATGCCATGGCATCGCAAGTGCACAGCTAAATACTTCTTCAGTATCATGAGGGTTTCAGCCTCAGCCACCCTTACAGGCAGTGGGTTCCAGATCCCCAGCACCATCTGGGTGAAAAGGGGTTTTCCTCACATCTCCTGTAAACCTGCTATCCCTTATCTTAAATATATGCACCTGGGTCACTGATCCCTCTATCATGAAAACAACGGTAACAAAAACTGAACTTGTGTTTGAGTGAGTTAGTAAGGGTGTAAAGGTTTGAGAAGGTGTGTGTGTGTGTGTGTGTGTGTGAGCGAGAGAGTGTGTGTGAGCGAGAGTGTGATAGTGTGAGAAAGACTGAGTGAGAGAGAATGTGACTGACATTGTGTGTGTGATTGAGAGTGTGTGTGTGACTGAGTGTGTGTGTGACTGTGAGTGTATGTGAGACCGTGAGTCTGTATCTGTGTGTTTGAGAAAGAGAGAGGTGTGTGTGATGTTTGTCCATGTGAAGATTTATCTGTATGTATGTGTGAGAGAGGTGTGTGAGTGTGAAACCCTGTACGAGTGTGTGAGAGATGTGTAAGAGAGAGAGACAGGTGTGTGTCTGTATGAGAGTGTGTGTCTGCATAAGATAGTGTGTCTGTATGACAGAGTGTGTGTGTGAGAAGGTGCAAGCGTGTGAGAGTGTGCGTGTGAGAAAGAGTGTGTGAACATGAGAGAGTGTGTGTGTAAGGGAGAGTGTGTGCATGAGTGTGTGCATGTGAGAGAGTGTGTGTGAGAGAATGTGTGTGTGAGAAAGTGAGCATGAGTATTATGGGTGTGAGAGAGAGTGAAAGTGTAAGAGAGAGAAATAGAGTGAGTTTGTGACTCTGTGTGTGTTTGTGTGTGTGGCGGCGTGCAAGACTGAGTGTGTGTGTGCGTGCGCGCGCGCGCGTGTGTGTGTGTGTGTGTGTTTGTGTGTATGTCTGTGTCTGTGTATACTCAGTATTGATCCCTGAAGCCATAAGATGATGTTCTGAGCTTTGCTGGAGCACTGCAGTAAGCCTGAGGCACAGTTGTAGGCCAGACAACACAATGGTGTGGTGAAGTGGCAGGCAACCAGAAGCTCAGGGTCACTTTTGAGGACAGAATGTGGGTGTTCAACAAAGCGGTTTTCCAGTCTGCATTTCATCTCACCAGTGTAGAGGAGACCACACTGTGAGCAGTGAAAACAGCAGAGAAATATCTTCCTCTTTACCCTATCTATGGTCCTTAATTTTATACATCTCAATCATGTTCCCTTTCAGTCTCCTCTGTTCTAAGGAAAACAACCCCAAGTCTGTCCAATCTCTCTTCATTACTTAAATTCTTCAGCCCAGGCATCATACTGGTAAATTTTCTCTGTACCCACTCCAGTACCATCACATCCCTCTTATAATGTGGATTCCAGAACTGCACACAATACCTAGCTGAGGCCTAACCAATGTTTTACACAGTTCCAGCATCACCTTCCTGCTCTTAAACTATATTCCTTGGCCAATAAAGTCAAATATCCCAGATGCATTTTTAACCACTTTATCTACATGTCCTGATACCTTAAGAGACTGGTGTACACGCATACCAAGGTCCCTTTGATCCTTGGTGCTTCCCAGGGTTCTACCGTTCATCATGTATTACATTGTCTTATGCCCAAGTGTATCACCTCATATTTATCTGGATTGAATTCCATTTGCCACTGATTAGCCTATCTGACCAGCCTGACTATATCCACGTGTAGTCCAAGTCCATCCTCCTCACTTTTTACGATTCTACCAATTTTTGTGTGGTCTGCACTGCATCCTACATTCAAACCTAAATCATTGGGTTGTAAACCCCACAGTCCCAAGAGAAGAGGTCACTAAGGTCACAGTCAAACCTTTCTGTAACAGGGGTCTGTGTGTGTGTGGACTGCCCATGCAGCCAGCTAGTCAGGTGGCACATCTGAGATGGACATGGAACAACTATCCCCAAACTGTCAGTGGGTTGGGATTGTGAAGGAGGGAGCAGGTGGTTTGCCACACAATAGATAAATACAAGGTGAGATCACATTGGGTTAGGGGTAATTTATTAGTTTAGATAGAGGATTGGCTAACCAACAGAAAGCAGAGAGTTGGGATAAATGGGTCTTTTTATGGTTGGCAGGATGTAACTAGTGGGATGCTATAGAGTTTGGTCCTTTGGCCCCAACTATTTATAATTTACGTTCATAACTTGGATGTACGAATAGAAAGTACTATAGTCAAATTTGCAAATGACACTAAAAGAAGTGGGAAAGTAAGTTGCACTAATGAAATAAGAAGTTTACAAATGAATTTGGATAGGTTAGGTGAACGCTGGGCCAATACTAGAAAATGAAGTTCAATGTGGATAGGTGTAAGGTTATCCATTTTCGTCAAATGCTAATTGTTATCTAAATGGAGAGATACTTTGCAAAGCTTTGGTGCAGAGAGGTATGGATTTTCTCGTGGATGAATCACAGAAAACCAATATGTAGGTACAGCAGGTAATAAGGAAGGCAAATACAATTCTGGCATTTGTTGCTAAGGTAGAGAGTATAAAAGTAGGGAAGTGATCCTGTAACTGTACAAGGTATTAGTGAGACTGCGCCTGGAGTAATCCATAGTTTTGGTCCCCTTGGTGGAGGTGCCAATTTGTAGTCGCACTGGAGGCAGTTCAGAGAAGATTTACCAGATTGATTCCAGAGGTGAGTGGTTTAGAAGAATAAGAGAAGATATAATTGAGGTGTGTAAGATCTAAACAGGATTGACAAAGTAGACATAGAGAGGATGTCACCTCATGTGGAGCCATTTAGAATGAGAGGTCATAATTTTAGGATAAGGTGTGGCAGATTTAAAACAGAGATCAAGAGAAGTTATTTCTCTCAACAGGTTATGAATCTGTGAAATTCACTACCCTAAGGTATAGTGGATTCTGGGTCATTAAACAAATTTAAGGAGACAGCGTAAAGATTTGAAATTAGTAATTGGTGTAAGGGTCATGGAGATTAGGCAGGAAAGTGGAGTTGAGACCAAGATGAGATCAGCCATGATCATATCAAATGGCAGAGCAGGCTCAAGGGATTGAATGTAGACAAACAGGAGGCTTGAAGAACACAGCAGGCCAGGCAGTATCTGCAGCAACATTTCAGGTATTACCCTTCTTCAGGACTGGATGCAGGGGTAGGGAGATCTGAATAGTCTACTCCTGCTCCTAGTTTCAATTGCCTTATGTATTTGACTGGCCCATGCTTGCAAGGCTCAGAGCATATTGTTTCAACATAAGATGTAATTCTTCAATTGGACAACACTTGCTGAAAAATCCAGACTGGGCTAAGCATCAGGCTGACAAGAAATTTAAGATTATCTATCAGGTTGCATTGTGGCTCACTTGCTAGAATCTATGTATATTCACACCTGTAGTCCCTGTCCTTTGCAAACTAAAAGAATATTAGAACAAGAGGTCAGGAGCTGCCACTTCTTGGTGCAATCCACATGACGATGCCTTGACCAATCAAATTCAACTGTCCTGGTTTGAATTTAAGCCAAAACTGAACAGTGAACTCTTTCCTGTCACATCCACCATGGTCACTGATTATGAGATGGACAATGTCTTTGAATTAGTGCTAAAAGCTTACAAACAAAAATGTAGAAATTTAAGAAAGGAACAGTAACCATGGAATAAAAGCAGGAAAAATGCTGGAAACCATCAGTAGGTCAAACAGCATCTCTTGAGCAACACAAAGTTATAATTTCAGGTCGAGATTACTTTTCATTGGACTATCTTCAATATTTTATTGTTCTCTCTGAGGGCCAGCAGTGGTAGAAATTCTCTTGCACAGTGTGCTGTGAAGGCTGGATTTTTGTAGATATTCAAAGCCAAATTAAACAGATTTTTGATGTTCAACAGTGTCAAGGGAGGGAATGGAATAAGGCAAGTAAGTAAAGTTAAAGCCGTAACCAGATCAACTATGACTGTTTTCAATGATGGAGCAGGTTTGCGGGGCTGAATGGCCAATGTATAATTTTATTAGGCTGTTACATTTGCTAACTTCCAAATCGTGGGTCTGCTTTTAGATCTCGTAAGTTTTAGAAAATCACATCCAGTGTGTTCAGTGCTTCTGCGGCAACTATTTGAGAAGCCAAAGATGCAGTTTCTCAGGTCCTGGGGATTTGTTTTCCTTTAGCTTCTCAAATATACTGGCTAGGTGGAGACTGTTTAAATTACCAACTACAGCTATACATGTTGGCTATTGATGTTGCCCATAGTGGCCAATCGGTTGATTATGGTCTGCATTGTTTGGGATTTTGCATTAGTGATATTGAGGGAGCACTGACTATTTTAGGTACTCTCTATCTTATAATACTGGCTAAAAACAGGGAACATTTGATTTACACTTTCCCACTAAACACTGCTGCCAGGAATGGAACAGGTTTAACACAGGGCTTGTCTAAATTGATCCATCTAACAATACTTCCTGGAAAAGGTAAAGCTGCCTCTACACACGATTAATTAATCATGTCCAGTTAATTATAGAGTCATGCCTTCATGTTATCGTCCCAGGAAATACCCCCATGATTGCAACAGCACAAATTAGATACAGAATAAAGGTCCCTCCATACTCAAACATCAGACTTTGCCGGGCAAATGTAGTGCAGGTTCTGCTCTAGCACTCTTGTAGCTAAGAACTGGGAGCTGTCCCAGAGCCAATCATATCTATCCACTTATCAACAAAGCACAGTCAAACAGACTGATTTACTGTTCATTACTTTATTGTTATTTTTGGGATGTCACCGTTCATGTGGTAGCTCCTACATTTAGCTTTATTTAAAGCTTCATTTTGCTAGTTAAATTGGAAGAACGTAGGACTTCTTAATGCAGTCCAGCTACAACGTGACTTGATCTCTTGGATCCCAACATAATGTTATCGTGGACTCCCATGCATTAAATCACTCTCTCAGGAAGGACTGCGCTCTGTCCCAATTGTTGGGGGACTCGGGGGAGGTGGGTGTCTTTATGACAATCAGAGGTTCAATGCCTAGAATGCCTCTGCTCTCAGTGTAACCTGTCTCTGGTTTATGAGTGTGTCTCCAGTGCTCAGCAGCCATTGTCCCAAGAAAATCTGATGTGTGAATCTGCACCAGGAATTTTATGTCACTGGAGTCATGTGAACCACACCAAACTTGTCAAAAGGCCTTAACATTTGATCATAGCAATGAGCTACAGCAATTCACAACTTTTTGCTTGTGGTTTGATAATTCATGAAAGGAATTATGATGGTGATTTAAAAAAAGACAAATTACCAGTGCTTGAGTCCTGGCATTCAAATATGTCAGATATGATTCCCTTACATATCCACATTCAGGTCATGTCTGTGCCATTTATACAGAAGATTGAGAAAAGGAAGAATTTACTTCCAGTGAAATTAAGTCAGGGCAGTTTTCTCAATGTTTGTTGAAAAGGCGCTCTGAAGAGATTTACCAGGATGTTGCCGGGTATGGAAGGCGTGACTTATTAGGAATGGTTGGATAGGCTAGGACTTTTTTCACTGGAGTGTGAAAGGTTGAGACATGACCTGATAGAAGATTATAAAATAATAAGAGGTATAGATAGAGTAGTGGTAGTTGTCTTTTCCCTAAGATGGGGAATTTCAAGACTAGGGGACACATTTTTAAGGTGAGAGGAGAGAGATTTAAAAAAAGATGAGCCAAATTTTTTGCACAGATGCTCGTTCACATGTGGAAAGAACTCTCTAAGGAAGTGTTGGATGCGGGTACAATTACAACATTTAAAAAAAACATTTGGATGAATATATAAATAGGAAAGGTTTGGAGGGATATGGGCCGGCAGCAGGCAGATGGGACTAGTTTAGTTTGGGATTATGTTCGGCATGGACTGGTTAGACTGAAGGGTCTGTTTCCGTGCTGTATGAATTTATGACCCTATGGCTACATAATGAGTTTGAACAGTAATTCTCTGAATTGTTTGGTCTTGTTGGGTCTATGAAACAGTGCTGTGAATATCTTTGTGAATGTATAAGCATATAGATTTATACAGGTATTTATATATATGTATAAACATTTGTTTTAAATGCACTCCAGATTGGTGGTTATAAAATAGTGACAAAAAACCCTTAAGTATATCAATAATTTTGGAATTAAGGAGGTTCAGCTATATTCCACCTACCACAGATGTGTATTAGAATAGGCTGATCAATCAATTCTGAAGATGATCCCTGATCTTACTGAAAGAAGTTTGGAGAATCCTTGTAAAAATACATTGCTCGAACAAGCAAAAACAACAGTTGAGTCAAGATGGCATTTGTTTATCATCTGAAAAAGGTTCAAGAGGAAAACACTGTTCAACTCACAGGGGTAATGATTCCTCAAGCCTATGAGTGTCCGGGCCTGCATCTCTGATCTTGAAGGTTTTACTTTTTGCCAACCTGGAAAAGAGTGAGGCAATGTCAATTTGGATGGAGAAAGTATGTTACTGTGCTGTGCAGAGGGGAAAGTGGATGGAACTTGGTCATGGGGCTTGAATCCAATTTTGGAGGTCATGTCATCAGCCTCTGGCATACCCAAATGTAACCAAAGGTGTTTTTTAATCAGAGATAGTAGCACCTCAAGCCGCACCCCCATTTCCTACCTACTAACCTCATCCCACCCCCTTGACCTGTCCGTCCTCCCTGGACTGACCTATCTCCTCCCTACCTCCCAACCTACACTCACCTTTACTGGCTCCATCCCTGCCTCTTTGACCTGTCTGTTTCCTCTCCACCTATTTTCTCCTATATCTATCTTCTATCCGCCTCCCCCTCTCTCCCTATTTATTTCAGAACCCCCTTCCCCTCCCCCATTTCTGATGAAGGGTCTAGGCCCAAAACGTCAGCCTTCCTGCTCCTCTGATGCTGCTTGGCCTGCTGTGTTCATCCAGCTCTACACCTTGTTATCTCCGTGTTTTTTAATCCTTTGCTTTCATGTTACTGAGTAGAGAGTGATAACTAAATCGTTTTCAGTCCTAGTGCTTAGCTGCAGACTCTGGCTTGTCCTAGGAAAATGTTATTTTGTAGGCACTCCTTGTGTGTCAGTGCAGACAATGAGAGACAGCAAACTGTTTTGTGATGGAGGGGGTAGCAAAGCAAAATCTCACTGTGCCATTGACAAGGCCACATCCAGTGATAGGAGAAGCAAGATCTTCCAGGAACAAGGGTAAATATAATGTTTAGCTGCTCTCTATCATCAGGGATGAAATTTGGTACCTTCTGTATTATAAAACTGAGACAGACTGAAAGAAGAACTCAACAAGCAGACAGCCCCAAATCTTTATTTCTCCAGTTTAGCACTCTCTAACAATCCTGCATCATCTTGATCAAGTATTTTCAGAAAAACCTCAGTACATATAACTACGCATCTCCTCACTTCATACAAAATGCATTGATCTGAAACATCTCTGATGGTTTTAGCCAGTTTGATTTATTAATTATATGCTAGGCTCTTCCCTCAACTGTGTTTTACACTTATCAAGGTGAGAAACTTTAGTTCACCGTGGCACTTCCAGGGTAGAAGTGGAAAATTTATTAATGCTACAGAGCAAAAGGGGGCCATTTGACCCATTGTGTCTACACTGACTCTCTGGTCATTGATATGTAGAGCCAGTTTACTGCCTTTTCCCTGCAACTCTGCACCTTGCTCCTATTTAAATAATCATCAAATGTCCCTTTTGAATGTTTTAATTGAACCTCCACCACATTCCAAGGCACTGCATTCCATATTTGCTGGGTGAAAAAGGTTTGCTCACCTCACATTTGCTTTGTTTGCAAATTACCGGTTATCTGCACCCTCTTGTTCTTGATTCTTTTACAAGTAGAAATAATTTCTCCCTATTCACTTTGTCCATACCTATCATGATTTTGGAAATTTCTATCATATCTCCACCTGGCCTATCTCAAAGCTACTCAACTTCTCTAATCTACCTTCAAAGCTGAAGTTTTGCATCCCTGGAACTATTCTTGTGACACTCTTCTGCATTCACAATCTTTCTAAGGTGTGCTGTCCAGAATTGGAACAATATTCCAGCTGAGGTCGAACCAGTGTCTTAAACAGTTTCAGCATCATATTCTTGCTCTTGTGCTCTTGTCCCTATTAATAAAACCAGGATACTGTATGCTTAACTGACTGATCTCACCACCTGTCCTGTCACCTTCAATGATCTGTGCACATACACAGCTGCATGCCCTTTAGAATTAGTACCAAAGAACAAACAAAGAACAAAGAAAATTACAGCACAGGAACGGGCCCTTCGGCCCTCCAAGTCTGCACCGATTCAGATCCTCTATCTAAACCTGTTGCCTATTTTCCGAGGATCTGTATCCCTCTGCTCCCTTCCCATTCATGTATCTGTCTAGATACATCTTAAATGACGCTATCGTGCCCGCTTCTACCACCTCTGCTAGCAACGCGTTCCAGGCACCCACCACCCTCTGCGTAAAGAACTTTCCATGCATATCTCCCTTAAACTTTTCCCCTCTCGCCTTGAAATCGTGACCCCAGTAATTGAGTCCCCCACTCTGGGGAAAAGCTTCTTGCTATCCACCCTGTCTATACCTCTCATGATTTTGTAGACCTCAATCAGGGTCCCCCTCAACCTCCATCTTTCTAATGTAAATAATCCTAATCTACTCAACCTCTCTTCATAGCTAGCGCCCTCCATACCAGACAACATCCTGGTGAACCTCCTCTGCACCCTCTCCAAAGCATCCACATCCTTTTGGTAATGTGGCGACCAGAACTGTACGCAGTATTCCAAATGTGGCCGAACCAAAGTCCTATACAACTGTAACATGACCTGCCAACTCTTGTACTCAATGCCCCATCTGATGAATGAAAGCATGCCATATGCCTTCTTGACCACTCTATCGACCTGCATTGCCACCTTCAGGGTACAATGGACCTGAACACCCAGACCTCTCTGCGCATCAATTTTCCCCAGGGCTTTTCCATTTACTGTATGGTTCGCTCTTGAATTGGATCTTCCAAAATGCATCACCTCGCATTTGTCTGGATTGAACTCCATCTGCCATTTCTCCACCCAACTCTCCAATCTATCTATATTCTGCTGCATTCTCCGACAGTCCCCTTCACTATCTGCTACTCCACCAATTTTAGTGTCACCTGCAAACTTGCTAATCAGACCATCTATACCTTCCTCCGGATCATTTATGTATATCACAAACAACAGTGGTCCCAACACGGATCCCTGTGGAACACCACTGGTCACAGTTCTCCATTTTGAGAAACTCCCTTCCACTACAACTCTCTGTCTCCTGTTGCCCAGCCAGTTCTCTATCCATCTAGCTAGTAAACCCTGGACCCAACGCGACTTCACTGTCTCCATCAGTCTACCATGGGGAACCTTATCAAACGCCTTACTGAAGTCCAAGTATCTGACATCCACAGCCCTTCCCTCATCTATCAGCCTTGTCATCTCCTCAAAGAATTCTATCAAGTTGGTAAGACCTTTTATTTTATATCACTGCTTCAGGTTCTTTGTATCAAAATGTATCATCTGACATTTCTCTGCATTGAACTTCATCTGCTACTTATCCGTCCACTCTATCAACTCGTCATTTTGACGTTTCACACTGCCCGCCTCATGGAGTCATAGTGTCATACAGCATGGAAACAGACCCTTCTGTCCAACCAGTCCATGCCGATCATAATCCCAAATAAAACTAGTCCCACCTGCCTGCTCTTGGCCCATATCCCTCCAAACCTCACCAATTCATGTACCAATCCAAAAATCTTTAAAATGTTGTAACTGTACCCACATCATCCACTTCCTCAGGAAGTTTATTCCACACATGAACCACCCTCTGTGTAAAAAATAGTTTACAATTCTCAAGTTTTGTATCATCTGCAAACTTTGAAATTGTCCCCTGCACATCAAGATCTATCATTATAGAAATCAGAACCAGCAAGGGTCCCAAACAAGTTGCCACTACAAACCTTCTCTAGCCTGAAAAATATCCATGAGTCATTATTTCTCGGCTACTCATACTCAGTAAGTTCCAACTCCACTGTCCATCAAACACTTCTAGAGCAGATACAAAACAGATCAAACACAGAGAAAGGCATTCCAGATACAGCACAGGTTAGATACAGACTAGGAGACTCCCAAGGCAGATGCAGCACCGTTTTAAATATAGAGAAAGGCACTCCAGATACATCACAGGTCAGATATGAAGTCGAGGACCTCCAGGGCACAAAACAGCATGGGTTAGATACAGAGAAAAACACGCGTAAGGCAAATACAGCATGGGGTTAAACTCCTTTTATCTATCTCTGAGTAAAGTTCCATTTATTTAATGTTTTTAACCTCAAAAATGATGGACTTTTCATATTCCTTACCCAATGTCCTCTGAACCTTCATGGTTACATGGTTAGTTTTGTTCTGAACCTGTGGCTGCTCTGTTTTGTGACTGCTGGTGATTGGAAGTTGGCCAGCTGACATAAGAGATCTCTGCCAGTTTGCACATACCCAATACAGTTAATGCCCAAGAGAAGTGAAATACAAGTACCCTGTTGAGCCCTTACCCAGCAGAGTGATCTCCTCCTGCTGTTTCAGTTGTGTAAACAGGAGGGGCATATCCATCAAACTTAACCTACAAAAGGAATTGGTTGAAAGATTAGGAAATATTTAGGCAACAGATAAATCAATGCAATGATTATTATTTGAAGTCAAGACAGAAAAATTGATTAAAATCAGAATCCACATAAGTGTCAAGATTAGAGGAGTACCAGGACTTTGATTGGATGTAGGACTTGAGGACAAGACAGAGAGTGAGAACCATCTGAAGGCAAAGGGCACAGTGACTGAATGCAAGGGAAACTGTGGGGATGATCCACAGGTGGCCCTACCCCTGACTTATGTTCCTCCCAGTCAGTAAGGAGGGGTGATCAGCCAATCATGGGAGAACCGTCTTGTCTTTGGAACCAATCTTGTGAACATTTGCAATTTACGTATTGTTCCTAAGATGTGAAGGCGTAGTCTTACTAAAACTCCATATAACTGTAGCAAAACCTCTTTTGTGCACACCAATCCCTTGAAATAAAGACCCACTTGGCTTCTTTAATAGTTTGCATTCTGAATCTGTGTTACTTGTACACACCAGCCTTTTTGAATATCAACATTTATAGGTTTAACATTAACAAGTTCCAAAGAAGGGTCAAGTAGGACTCGAAATGTTAAGTCTGTGTCCCTCTCCACTGATGTTGAGTATCCTCAGCATTCTTTGTTTGTTTTATAAATTTAACACCTTTTAAAAAATATTCTTTTTTATTCCTACAACCAGGGTGAAAACCTCATGTTTCCCCACTTTATACTCCATCTGTCACCTTCCTACTTTCTCACTTCAATATGTCCATACCTCTATGCAGTCTCTGTGTCCTCCTCCTTCTCACTGAGCTTTGTATCATCACCAAATGTAGGTACTGTTGGGAAGTTGGGTGGAATACTTGTAGATGGGAAGGCAGTACGTAAGAACTTGGTGTTTTTAAAATATTGATGCTTATAAAATGTGATGGAGAAAGAATGTGTGGTCCCTTTAAAAGATGATGTGTTTTTTCTAGGCTTAGAGATTTAAAAAAATGTGCAGGTGCACAGAGAGCTCATGAAAATTGAAATATTGTATCAAAAGGCTGTGTGGTTAGCAACCCAGGAAAGTAGTTTGTTTTGTTATTAAGGCAACCAGTTTGAAAATCAGCCAATTAATTTAAACCAGATTTAAAGGCTAAATACCAATGAAAATTAAATCTGATGGTTTTGACAAGCTAGGATGAATCCTATTGTAAGAAATTAATAGGTCATAAAGGGTATAAAAGAAGAGGGCATTTGAAAATCTGTGTGAGAGCAACTAATAGAGTTACAATCCAGCAGCTCTAAAGAGAAAATGACCGGCTCTCACAGAACTCTCTAAGCTCTCAAAATATCAATCAGCTAACTAAAAGTATTAGGCACTCTTAGCTAATATTCCTGATACAGGAAGTTGATGGAGATAGGTGTTCCTGACTGAAGATCAGTGGAGAGGGTGCAGAGCATTCCAGAAGACTTATCCTGGTTATAATTTTGAGAGACTATGTTTTAATTTTTTTTATTAATTTGGTTTTTGGAACAGCATACTATTACAATTTTATTTTATTCAGAAGAGTTAGTAGTTAAGAAGGAATTGTTTGGTTTTGTCACTGTTAGATTTAGAATCAAGATAGAATCATAGAATCCCTACAGTGGTGAAACAGGCCCTTCCACCCAACAAGTCCACACTGACCCTCAGAGCATCCCACCCAGACCAACCCCCTATAATCCACCTAATCTACACATCCCTGAACATTACAGGCAATTTAGCATAGCCAATCCACCTAGTCTGCACATCTTTGGACTATGGGATGAAACCAGAGCACCTGGAGGAAACCCACGCAGACACAGGGAGAATTGCAAACTCCACACAGATAGTCACCCAAGGGTGGAATTGAACCCGGGTCCCTGGCGCTGTGAGGCAGCAATGTTCACCACTGATTATTAATTGATGATTATACAGTGACTATCATGAGTTTATTTCATTTAACCTCCCCTTTATAACAGATTGGGAGGTGAGAGGCAGTTTATACCACTTTTCACACTTTTTTTAATAGGTTATAAGGTGGGGTGCTCCTCTCAGGGTATTTTGGTTTAGTTATCAGAGGGGGGTTAAACTCTGCTTTATAACAATACGTTATCCTCTATCTCTTTGTCTAAATAATTTGGGTACTGATTATAAATGGTTGCTGTCCCAATGCTACCTCTGTGATACTCCAAATGTCACCTCCTGACAACCTGAAAATCACCCAGTTATGCCTACTCCCTGCTCCTGTCCTTTAACCAATTCTCCATCTGTGCTGTATATGACCTATACTGGTATTACCTCATTCAAACTACTTATTACATTCTCAAAGAACTCCAATCAATTTGCCAAACACAGTTTCCTGTTCTCTAAGCCATGTTGACTCTAACTGATTGATTGTTTTCTTAGCACTTGAAGACTTCTTTACCAATATATTCCAGCACTCTGCTGATGGCTGATGTCAGGTTAACATTTCTCTCAAACAGTGGGGATCCAATTCTTTGGGATCTTTCTGGAATCTAGCATCATAAACAATGTGTCCAGTATCTCTTATAGAGACTTAGGCCATCAGGCCCTGAGCATTGATAGGCTTTTAACGTCTTAAATTCTCTATTACCTTGCACTCTATTGATATTAATCACTTTAACTCTCCAATGCTAATTAGCCCCAGGTTACCCTTTAGTACTGCTGTGTAGTTTTTCTCTTCTACAGTGAAGAGCAGCACACAATAGTTATTCAAAGTCTCTACCATTTCCTCGCTCTCCATGATAATTTCTTCTTACTCCTTGGCACCCTTTGTAACAGTATAAACCCAACACCTCTCTCTTCAGTTCTGAAGAAGCATCACATTGGACTCAAAACATGAACTCTCCACAGATGCTGCTGAGTTTCTCCTGCAATTTTGGTTTCTTTAATATAATTCTGACTTGGTCTCCAACATTTCCTTTACCTACTGTATTCTTTATGCCCATAAAAGCTCTTGAAATATGTTTTTATATTCCTGGTTAGTTTATTCTCATTCTTGTTTCTCCCTTTTATTTTGGTTTCTCTTTGCTTTCTTTGAATATTCTTTTTATAATTCTGCACAGAGTTTGGCTCCAGGCAAACAGGCAGTGTTTCTTACCAACTAAATCCAGGTCACTGACATCTCTGTCAGTATATGATGTTGTTGCTATTACAGAGGAACTATGATGTTGTTGCTATTACAGAGACTTGGTTAAGGGAGGGACAGGATTGGCAGCTTAATGTTCCAGTACACAGATGTTTCAGGCGGGATAGAGGGGGATGTAAAGGGGTGGGAGAGTTGCACTACTTGTTAAGGAGAATATCACAGCTGTACTGCAGGCGGACACCTTGGATTGCTCACACAGTGAGGCAATATGGATAGACCTCAGGAACAGGCAGGGTGCAATCACAATGTTTGGGGTTCGCGATAGGCCTCACAACAGCCAGGTAAAAGAACGGATATGTCGGCAGATTTTGCCAAGATGTAAAAGTAACAGGGTTATTGTCGTGGGTGATTTTAACTTTCCATATACTGACTGGGACTCACATAGTGCTTGGGGGTGAATGGGGCAGAGTTTGTAAGGAGCATCCAGGAGGGCTTCTTGAAACAGCATGTAGCTAATCTAACAAGGAAAGGGGCTGTACTAGAGCTAGAATTGGGGAATGACCCTGGTCAGGTGGTCGACGTCTCAGTAGGTGAGCAGCTCCGGAACAGTGATCACAATTTTAAGGTACTGATGGATAAAGATAGGTGTAGTTGTTAGGTGAAGGTGCTAAATTGGGGGAAGGCTAATTCCAACAATATTAGGCTGGAACTGAAGAATGTAGATTGTAGGCAGATATTTAAGGGAAAATCAACATCTGGTATATGGGAGGCTTTCAAGTGTAAGTTGATAGGAACTTAGGACCGGCACGTTCCTTTAAGGATGAAGGATAAGTATGGCAAGTTTAGGGAACCTTGGGTAACGAGAGATATTGTAAACTTAGTCAAAAAGAAAAAGGAAGCATTTGCCAAGGTTAGGAGGCTGGGAATACAAGTAAAGTCAAAAGAAACTTAAGCAAGGAGTCAGGAATCATTGGCCAACAGGATTAAGGAAAATCCCAAGGCTTTTTATACAAATATAAAGAGCAAGATGATAGCCAGGGGGAGGGTTGGCCCAATCAAGGACAGGGAAGGCAATTTATGTGTGGAGCCAGAGGAAATGGGTGAGGTATTAAATGAATACTTTGCATCAGTATTCACCATAGAGAAGGACGGTGGATGATGAGTCTGGGGAAGGCTATGTAGACAGTTTCAGTCATGGGATCAAAAGGAGGAGGTATTGAGGGTCTTGAAAAACATTAAGGTAGGCAAGTCCCCAGGGCCTGATGGGATATATGCCAGAATACTGAGAGAGGCAAGGGAGGAAATTGTTGGGGCCTTGAGAGAAATCTTTGCATCCTCACTGGCTTCAGGGGAGGTCCTAGAGGATTGGAGAATAATCAATGTTGTTCCTTTGTTTAAGAAGGATAGCAGGGATAATCCAGTTAATTACAGGCCAGTGAACTTTACGTCAGTGGTAGGGAATTATTGGAAAAGATTCTTTGAGACAGGATTTATTCTCACTTAGAAATAAGTGGGCGTATTAACGAAAGGCAACATGGTTGTGAAGGGGAGGTCATGTCTCACTGACTTGGTTTAGTTTTTTCAGGAAGTGACAAAGATGATTGATGAGGGTAGGGCAGTGGATGTTGTCTACATGGACCTCAGTAAGGCCTTTGACAAGGTCCCTCATGGCAGGCTAATATAGAAGGTAAAGTCACACAGGGTCAGAGGTGAGCTTGCAAGGTGGATAAATACTGGCTTGGTTATAGAAGACAGAGGATAGCAGTGGAATAGTGCATTTCTGAATGGAGGGCTGTGGCTAGTGGCGTGCCTCAGGGATCAGTGTTGGGACCTTTGCTGTTTGTAATATATATAAATGATTTGGAGGAAAATATAACTGGTCTGATTAGTAAGTTTGTGGATGACACAAAGGTTGGTGGAATGGCAGATAGCAATGAGGACTGTCAAGAGGATACAGCAAGATATAGATTAGTTGGTGACTTGGGCAGAGAGATGGCAGATGGAGTTTAATCTGGAAAAATTTGAGGTAATGCATTTCAGAAGGTCTAATCCAAATATACAGTAAATGGCAGAACCCTTAAGAGTACCGATAGGCAGAGGGATCTGGGTGTACAGGTACACAGGCCACTGAAAATGGCAATGCATGTGGAAAAGGTAGTCAACAAGGCATATGGCATGCTTGCCTTCATCGGCTCGGGCATTGAGTTTAAAAATTGGCAGGTAAAGTTGCATCTTTATAGAACCTTAGTTAGGCCACATTCAGAATATTGTGCTCAATTCTGGTTGCCACCACTGCCAGAAAGATGTGGTGGCTTTGGAGAAGGTACAGAAAAGATTTACCAGGATGTTGCCTGGTATGGAGGGCATTAGCTATGAGGAGAGAATGGAGAAACTTGGTTTGTGTCACTGGAACAATGGAGGTTGAGGGGTGATCACATAGAGGTCTATAAGATTATGAAGGGCATGGACAGAGTGGACAGTCACAAGCTTTTTCCCAGGGTGGAAGAATCAGTTACCAGGGGCCATGGGTTTAAGGTGCGAGGGGCAAGGTTTAAAGGTGATGTATGAAACACGTTTTTACACAGAGGGTGGTGGGCGCCTGGAACTCGCTGCCAGGGGAGGTAGTGGAAGCAGATATGATAGTGGCTATTAAAGTGCGTCTTGACAAATACATGAATCGGATGGGACTAGAGGGATATGGTCCCCAGATGGTTCGGGATTATTTGTGATGGGAAGCATGTCGGTGCAGGCTTGGAGGGCCGAAGGGCCTGTTCCGGTCCTGTAATTTTCTTTGTGCTTTGTTCTATTGTTTCTACTGAATCATAGAGAATTGCTGAATTGTTACTGTGCAGAATGAAGCTATTTAGCTCATTGTGGCTGTACCAGCACTTCAAATGAACATCATTATATAGTGCCAATCTCCTGCCTTTTCCCCATATCCCTGCGCACTATGTCTATACAAATAACCATCCAATGCCCTCTTGAATGTCGCAATTGAACCTGCCTCCACATTTCCAGACAGTACATTCTATGCCCTAATTACTCATTATCTGATAAAGTTTTCTCACATCACCCTTACTTTGTTTGCAAATTACTTTATGTTGCCTCATTCTTGTTTCTTTTCTGAGCAGAAATAGCTTTTCCCTACCTCCTGTATCCAGCCCACTAAAGATTTCGAAAACCTTTATCAAATCTCCTTTCAGCCAACTTGTCTCCAAGGAGAACAGTCTCAACTTCTTCATTCTATCCTCATTGCTGAAGTTTCTCATTTTCTAAGTTTCCAAATAACTGTTCTTGTAATTACAGTACTAACTGACAGTACCAGTGCTTCGATGCTGCTGATGTTGGCCTGACAGGCCAGCAATATTAGAATGACTGTCCTGCCAGTGGGTCCATAGCATTTGCACAGGTATTGTTTCTGATACTTCTCTAGAGGTTTGAGTTGTCTGCTATACATTGTCCATGTCTCATCCAGGACGGCTGATAACACTGTTGATCGATATTTCAGCAGCAAGCCTAACGTAAGACTTTCAAAAAGAGCTCTGTCATACCACATGCACCACCTGGGCCCACTCCAGTGGCAGGGTAGGCACATCTGGTGTCGGAGTGCTCCGTCACCTTAGTACCCACAACTCTACAGTGGAAGAGGATCATCCTCACTCTTGAGGGACTGCCTAAGTTGATGAAGGAGAGCTTTTGCTGAATAGCAGCTGCTGCTCCATTCTAGAAGCTTCATTCCCTGAGGTGACTGGCAGTCTTGCAGCCAGGCACCAGATTGGGAGGGCAGCGGGCAGCCTGACTGACAAGCTGAGCTGACCCAATGATCCACAGGCGTTCACTGGCCGGCATCCCCAGAGGTGTCAGGCTCTGGGTGGATCACATTGGGTGCCCTGCATGGCTATTTCTGGCTTCCTGGCCCAAACTTGAGACTGCAGCTGGGGTCCTGACACTTTCTCCTGGCGCTGCTATACATGTCAGCACCACAGGCTGGATTTTAAGCCACCTCTGCTACCCCCTGCCAGACTTTGGGTTATGTAAATGAACGCCCACCTGCTTTCCTTCCCCACCCATTGACCTGTCCCCTGAACACAATGGGAGAGGAGAGTAAAGTGCCCTCTAGGCTCAGACTAAGAGCCATAATACGTTGGCCATTGCTGGGCAGGCTTCAAAAGTTGTTTTTAAAAATGCCTTTTTGAAAAGGAGATAAGGAGGGGCACACCATGTAGCAGTGTCACTGTGCGCATTGATGGAGACCGTACATTGTGTCATTCCGACTTAGCCCTTTTGAGGGGTCCCAATCCCTTCCCCATCCCAATATTATCTCTCATCTCTGTGGAGGCACACTGCATCACCCTGTTCAGCGGGACTTTTAGCACCCTGCCCGCTAAGTGAGGCGCTGATTTCCTCCATCTACATTTTCCAGGAAGAGGGCAGAGTACTGCTTACCCCCTGGAAAAATATACTTTCGTGAACATGCTGGAGGCTTGGGAGGGCCAGGAGTGTGGAGGGTTGGTGCACCAGTGACAGATAGGGGGTCATATGTGTTAGGGTTGGTGCAGCAGTGACAGAATGGGGAAATGGCTATGGAGGGTGGGTGCAGTAGTAACAGATTCAGGGAGGCAGGGTGTGGAGGGTGGGTACAGCAGGGACAGATT